GTGAGAAAGAGAGATGGAGGGAAGGGAAGATCGGAGGATCTCCGTCCGAGCGCGAGGGATGCGATGAATTTTTGAAGAATTCTGTCAATAGCAGTCGCTCTCTCGCCGAGTATATATGAATGGTGGAGAGACCTGGCACAATCTGCAATGACGAATTCCTTTCAATATTTCATGAGGTCTATAGACTCACCAGTCGCTCCGTTCTCTCTCTCTCTCTCTTTCTCTTTCATCCCGGCGGGCATCGATCGTCCGTCTGCCGCAACTCTAAGTGGGATATCCTTCGATAAAACAAGCAAGTCATAGACGTCGTGGTTTTCACGCACGATTTGTCAACGGCGAAAAAAAGTGTCCATTATTTATTACTGTAATTAAATCCAATGATATATTTCTAATTATATATTTAAATTAGAGATGGTCGAGAGGTGTCGTTTCAAGTGTGGGTTTTAGCACGAGGATGAAGATAGACATGCAGTCCAAAATTGTGAGAGCAGCTGCTACGACAAGAGAGGATTTACGAGAGGGAGATAGAAAGAGAGTAACATAATACGAAGTTCAGTGTCAAGTGCGTATCGCGTTACACGAACGTCATCCGATCTTTCTCGTACCGAGAAATCGAACTCCTACGATTAGAGCGATCCCCCGATCATTTGATTCGGTTCTTATCAGGACACGTTTGTGGGAAAGAGGCGCAGAGAGAGAGAGAGAGAGAGAGAAGACAGCGCGAGAGATAAATCGAGTGTGTTGTTTCGGGGAGTTTCTCTGAAAATCGACTTCGCGCGAATGACAAGTATCTATACATATTCAAGTACTTCGCGTTAACGAGTTGACGCTCACTCGAGCGTGATAAAATTCCGAGTAAATTCTTAGCCTCATTTAAAGCGAGCGACGTTTGGATCGATAGTATCTCTCTCTCTCTGAAAAAGGCAACGAAGGACAGAGGTGGCAATCTTAAAATATATACATACTCGTACGCGCGCGTAATCGCGACGATCATCGCGCTCTCGCGAAGAGGTTTGCCGCTCACGCGCGACGACACGACGAGGGGGAAGTTTTCTTCTGCAAATGTGTTACGAGAAGACTCTCTCTTCATCTGTGCGCGCGCGGGGGACTGCCCACAGCTGTTCCTATAAATAACAACCCCCGATTTGATGCAACCGCGCGAGTGCTCACAGCGGCAATTCTCCGCATCTTCCTCTCTCTCGCGAAAGCGCGGCAAACTATGGTTATTGACCCTCGGGCCCGGCACTATTTCCGTTCGCGAAATAATGCTCCGCGAGCATCGTAACGTGTGATTTAAACGCGCGCAAGGATGGATCCCGGAGGTCCGATGCGTCGACTACGTAATCCGATATAAATGCGACACATTGTTCCAAATTGTCCATTACACATGTATATAAACATATATATATATATATATATATATATACTTGAAGAATGTTAATTTTTTATATATTTATCTCTTCTTCGAATTTATCTCTTATATTTAATAAGTTTCATTATCTTTCACTCTGATCAATTTTTAAAAATAAATATAGATTGATTGTCAGAATTAATTATCTGACATATATTGATAGATTGATTGCCGGATTAATTATTTGACATATATTTGATAGACTAATTATGGATAATTATATGTTATAGTTAAATTGAGATAATGAATCCTCTTTGATAGATAGAGTAAAATCGGAGATAAACTTTCGATATTCGCAAATCAAATAATAACGTTTTTGAAATTTCACAATTCTGTTAATAAATGAAAATTGCGCGAATGGCAAAATAAGAGCAGCATGCGTTCGCATTAAAACGATGTATTACGATTGAAGATTCGATTATTGTCCCTGGGACATAATTACGTTCTACCTGATGTACAGCTTTATTCGCGCAGTAAAATGCAATAAAATATATTATACAATAAAACGGGGGGATTTATCCACGGATTACATTATCCATCACGGTCGCGAAAGATTAAATCTCCATAAATTATTCGTTGTACAAACGATATTCATTAACGACACGGTTCGAATAACCGCCAAGTGTGGTTAGCGCACACGCAATCTCTCTCTGCCTGATTCTCTCAATATATTTTTAATACTCCGAAGTAATATATTTTACCGTAACTGCACAGTCTACAGAGACTTTTTCGATCACGATTATCAAACCGCAACGCAATTAAATGAAGCAAGAAAATATTATTACGTCTGTCGTCCGCCAATAAAATTTCAATCGCGATTCTGCTTCAACTTGAAAGGCTCCAATGTTGGAAATTTATCATTTTCAGTCGCTCAAAATTGCGCTATAGCAATTTTTCATATATACTAATCGATGTGTACTATAATAATATTTTTATTCGAGACTTCAACGAGAACTCTCCTGCGGATTTTCTATTAATTTGATCGAGGTATAAAAAAAAGAGAGAAAAAAAAGAACGGAGAAAGAGAGAGAGCGAGCAATCGATGATGTCACTTGCGATTGATAGCCGCAATCTCTTTGTGAAATGCGCCGACACGATCGACAACCGAGATTTGGGCTCCGTCGCAGCATCGGTTGCACATTTTATAGTACGTTTTACTGCGTGCGCTGCGACTGACCAGAGAGTAATCTTTTTTTTCCTCCTCTTTCGTGCTCGCGTATTCCTCTCGCCCACATCGCCGATCCTTCTCGTTCTTCTGGTCTCCTCTCTTTCCTTCGTAAAGGAGGCACGACCAGCCGAGGCAGGGTCATGGCCGGACATCTCTCGTCTGCCGTATTCTCTTTCTGTTTCGCTCTACACTCACATTACATCTGTTCTATTCGCGTGTAGCTCTCTCCTTGAACCCTCTCGTAAACCTGAATTTTAGTGCATGCCGAATATGAGGCATCGCGATTTCACGAGACACGTTCTCTCCTCGCATCATCGATTAGATCTGTGAGTGACTTTTCTATATGAAAATCGCCAATTGCAGGAATGAGATGATTTAAGGGGTGACGTGTATTGTGTGTTATTTTTTTTAAAAGCTATCTCTAACCAGTATACACACTTTTTAATCGAAAATGACAAAAAGAAAAATAGATTTATTTTTCTTATTTTTTTGACATAACGCGAAACATTATGATAGCTATTTTTATAGATTTTCGTCACGGTAAAAGAAGGTTTTTTTAATTTAAATGGAGTTGTATGTAATTTATTTCAAGTGTTACATTTCACAATAAAAAATACGCAAGTTTACAAATTTTGATCATATTTCAAAATAGGATTATCAAAATGTACAGTTTATACGAGGACACTAAATATTCAATTAAAATGAGCGTATTGCTATTTCCGCGACATGATGCAACGTTCACCGAAAATAATACAAGGATATTATAACTGCAAACGTGTAATTGTTGTCTAGAGTGAAGTCAAAAACGTTCGCTCGAGGCGTTGCACAAAGTTGAAAGTTAAACTGTCTAGAGATATCACTACCTGAAATAGATTGAACATTTTTCGACGGTGATTCACGAGATTCACGAGACAATAACGGATCGTGATAAATTTGTCCACCATATGCGGTGCAACAATGCAAAAAACCCGAAGTTTTTCAATTCTTCGAAAACGCAGGTTCTCATCTTTAATAAAAATATAATTGTGTATAGCTTTTTCTTGTCTAATATATTTGAAGGTTTTTTTTTTATTCGAGGCAAAACGTGTACAAGCAATTTCAATATTGTGTTTTCAATTTATTCACTTTTTAAATTAAGTTTTATGAATTTCACGATGAGAATGCAAATCTTTACAATATGCACGTTGACAGATATATTTTTCGGAACAGCTTCTATGAATTATTCGCAACGCGTAGGAAATTAATCACGTTGGGCGCAGAAATTAAAATGTCACACGTGGGTCCCTCCCATATTTCTTGCGCTGCTGCTTCGAATTGTTCCCCGCCACAACCACGTGTTGCACTCTAGAATTCTGACCGAGATGTTATCGACCGCTCTCGTTACACCATTGTCGTTTTGATAGCTTCTTTGTCAATCTTTTATAATTTTAATGTTTTATGTTGCATCATTACACAATTAGTAATAGCTTTGATGAAACTGGCAAAACTTGCGTCAAATACTTGGGAAATTGTCATGAAAAAATCAAGGGATTGTTGTGCTTTTATAATTTAGATGTTTATTGAACAATTGTAATTGTGATGTTCTTATAAAAAAAAAATAAAAACAGTGTTTTTTTTATGTTTTCTTTATTATCCTGCGTACTATTTCGCTCATTATTTTATAATCTGAGTGTACAAACATTAATATAAAAGGGAATGGCACATGCTGCGCTTTATTTACAATAATTGCGTTGCGCAATCGATAGATGTGTCAAGGGATACACGGGAATAATCCCTTCAGTCTCGTGATAATCAGTCTCAAAATATCAAAAACCGGCAAATCCTCTTTCACATCAGTACTCTAAATCTCCATTATATTTGTCCAACTACTGTAACGAAATAAATTGCATCTATACGTTCTCCGCAGCGAGTTATTAAAAACAATCATATATTTATCATTTTTATGTACAATATTTTTAACCTTTTCTTTTAAATCTTTTCCAAACAAAATTATTTACATTTTTCATTTTAATTGAAACATTATCTTTCTCTACAAGTTATTGCATCACACACACACACACACACTCTCTCTCTTTCTCGTTTTGTTTAGGTACACGCAATATCATTAATAAATTAACGCATATATCAATGCATATATGCACTTTCCATATATGCTTCGACATATGGCTAAATGCGACTAAATGCATTAAGACCATTAATAACCATATGCGTACGACCGAACAATTATTTACAATCATTTCACTATTAGTTTCGACTCAAAATTAGCCCGCAGCGGATAACAAGTAGAATCTATCAATAATTCTCTCTCTCTCTTTCCTTCCCTCTGACAAACAGCTTATTTCGGCAAGTTGTGAAACTTGCATACAGCGAAGAGCATCGTGACGTAGATGAGCAATTGCTCTACAAGATCATAGAACTCACGATTTCGCGACGGATGGTGGGCGTTCCTGCTCCGGAGTACATCCTGCAGATGCATTAATATCTGCATCAGTCGCTCCTCCGGCGTTTGCGGGTTCTCATCGCGGGGCAAGAATGGTATCGCCATGGTGCGTCTCCCTTGATCTTTTTTCTCTCTCGATCGCAGGCGCAGGTTGACGCGCGCCTCGCGTTATGCGTTTCAAACTCCACGTGTTTCCTGCTTCGCCCTGCAACGACGCACTGCAAAAGCAAGAAATGGTTCGTGGTTGAGCTCACACTGTTCACTCTCCCCTCGCACCTCAATCGTTCGTTCGGAGTCTTCGATGCCTAATCTATCTATAGTTTCTTGCACCGAGTCGGATATTAAGGCGCGTATTAGACGCGGCACGTGGCCGTCTTCAGTTCACCGGCGCACACGCACGCTTTCAACGTTCATCGTAGCGAATCGCACGTGGTGCGCGCACGCATAGTATCGTATGCATATGTGTGACGTTGTGGATCGAGAAGCAAAGTGTCACTATTTTTTTCTCACTGTCGTGAGGAGAGTACCAAGATCACTTTCACGCTATCTCTCAGTCACTTCGATGGAATAATCGCGAGATACGAGTAAAAAAAACTCTGTCCCTTCTCGCGAACTATACCGCGTTAGGAGGTGCAAACACTTGGAACTCGGAGTTCTTAAATCGGAGCACGAGACGTGCGATGTCCTCCGCGTGGATAATCTGACAGCCGCACCAGTTGATCCACGTCTCACTCAAGCAACGAGTATAGAAAAACACGTCGTCGTCGTCGCGAGATGAATTTGCAACACGCGACACGAGGATCGAATCGTTCTTCGTTCGACGACAAATCACCTTCACGGAGTCCTCTCTTTGGCGCGAGATATCACACGCGTGTAAAAAAAAGCGAAATTTCGGCGACGCGCCGAAAGAAACAAGGGGTTGAAAAACGGGAGATGTAAAAGCGGAGTAAATAAACTACTGCGAACGACACGAGATCTCGACTGAGCTCAGAGTAACGAGAAACACGTCTGCTCTCCTCGAGGTCTGGCGCGGTAATGATTCCTATGCTTTCACAGTGACTCGGCCGCACGTTCTGCCTTGCGGATGCACAACCGGCTGTATACCCTCACTCCGCTTTGCTCGCGCGGACGATTGGCGGAACAGTGGGGAACACGTGCGCGCGCAACCTCATCGCGAGAAATAAAGGGTGAGGGTAGTCGATATACTCTCAGGGTGGGGTTGCACGCGCGGGGGGAGCGTGACAATACATTGTCCTCCGACGTCGCGAGCGAGCTCCGTTTGAACGCCAATATTTACTGCAATCATGCGTTTGCAGTCACCAGATACAACGACGCGTCCAGTGTACTCGACATGAATTATTTATTCATATATATGTATACAATATTTTATACGTATATGTATATTTCTGAAATATTCATGTTACGTAAAGGAGATGGATGCGACTGATTTTTTCACGTCACTTTGACAAGACAAAGAAATTGTTCTGATTTTGCGGGACGTGATAAACTAAATAAACGGAAATATTTTTTGTTGTAAAAAATATCGCGTATATTCTCTCCACGTCATGACATTTGATAGACGTTGATAGGGACTAGGGAACTTACATATATATATATTTCTGAAATATTCATGTTGCATAAAGGAGATGGATGCAACTGATATGCAATTTTTGACGAGACAAAGAAATTGGTCTGATCTGATTGTGAGATGTAAATTCACCACTTTCTATGGAAGCCTAAATAAACGTAAATATTTTTTTGTTGTAAACAAATATCGCATATACATTCTTTCCATATCATGACATTTGACAGACGTTGACAGGAGCTAGCACTCAGTCGTTTCCGCGCTTGGAAGATGCGAGTGCATTTTTGCTGGGCGACAGAGAACAGAGGTTGGACAAGAACGGAGCGTGTAGCACGTAGCGATGCAGTAGGATCTCTCGACGAGGGAGAGAGTGAGAGGCCACGCACACATTCACATTGCACTACCGGGGCCGTAAAGGCGCGTATGACACTCGAGCGCAACTGCGCAGTTTATACGACCAACTACGACCTTTGCACAGGGGTAGAATTTTCGACCGCCAATCGAAACTGTTTATATTATTTCGATTAAAAAAAAAAAAAAGAAAAGTTTAAACAATTAAGGCCAACTAACACCAACTCAAAGTTATTGGGTGTTAAACAAACTTAACATTAAATGTAAAAAAAAGACATCTTGCCCAAGTGACTGAACAGAGGTCCTTTTAAAAAACCTATGAAAAAATAATTGATTGATCGCATTAGTATCTAATAAAACAATTATTTGCCGGACCTGACACCTGTTCAAAGTCAAAACTATTAAACCAAATTTCTCGATAAGCGAAAAAGATAATGATCAGGTTACCAATCGAGTCCATTTTTTTAAAATTCTGTATCGTCCAACATTAGCAAAAAATTTTAAACAATTTAAAAAAAAAAGAAAAAACGAACCGCTCAGAGAAGCTGAAAAAGTCAAACGAAATTTCACTCGTGATTCTAATTCCGATTTTACTGGCTCTGTTATTAATGTTAATTAATTTTAATAGCGGGATATTCTTTTAACGAGTAGTTTCGATTCGATTGCACAGTGACGAAATAGACGCGTGCATTATCGAGATTAATGATAAATATTATTGCGATAATATTATTGATAATTGTTAAGCTCTCTCCGTTTATACTCTCTCCGACGACTATAATAGACGCTCGGGTGATAACGAGCATCGGTGTCAAAGATTAACTCGAATCGCTCGAATGACTATATGCAGAGTTAATGAGCTCGTGCTTATAATTAATTAGGAACGGATGGGCGAAACAGACATGAGCGCGGACTCGCGCTTAATTTCCTGATAATTTGTGACGACGCAAACGATATTCACGACGGTATATCGCAGTGCGTTAAATCTTTTTTTCTCTCTCTTTTTTTCGTACAGTCGATAAATGGACGAACGGAGAGAAACAAAAACGCACAATATGCTTCTATTGCGCGCGCTGATTCACGATGCACACACACATATATACACACACAATAAGCCACGGAGTGCGACTATATAAATAAATATGAGCATATTGATTTGCGCGTATGTGCATGCACAATCCGTATGAAAAACGAGATCCCGCATTCAACGCGAATCAAGAAAGAAAATCGGTATCTCGCCATTAATATTATTCTCTTTATTGCACACACAATTCGCGTAATGTATTTGCCGAATTTTAAATAAATTATAACACATCCTACGACGAAACGCAATCGCATTGCAGAACAAAAGCGCATATATTGTATATACCTATATGTACCCTCCGAAATTCTTTTCAATATTTACATATCTGGTTTTAATATTTATAATATAACACAAAACTGGCGTATAATTCAACTCACGAGAAAGAATCGAGTGCACTTCACCCCCTACGAATTTCCACTTACCGAATTGCATAACGTAATGCAACCTTAAGAGACGTGCGCGTGTTAAACAGAATCTCGAGAGCGTAAACGTGCGTGCCACTTGAATCGATGGACGATCGAGGTCTGTCCGCAGCATGTATGCTATACGCGAGTGAGAGAAAGAGAAAGCGAGAGATAGAGATAGAGAGAGAGAGAGAGAAGAGATTAATCCTAGGAGCGGAGACGCGCAGGGAGATATTGTCATTGGATATCAGATGCGGGAGTTAAAGGCCAGGTGAATCTCGGCGTGTCGCGTCGGGGATGACGTTACAGAGAGATGACATTACCACTATAGATCGTGGAAATCGGAGTCGATGTGCGCTGAGATGTGTGCGCGCGCGCAAGACCGTTTCAACGTCGGGTATCGATGGATCGATGCTTATATCGGACGCGATATGACACGTGAGTCAAGTGATACCAAAGATAATAATTTTGCGCGCGCAAATTTGCAGCGGATCCTCTCTCTCTGTTTCTCGACGGCGCTCGAGATTTATCGAGCGGATCGATACGCGCTTATCGCGTGTCTCGCAGGAACTACTTGTCATTTGAGAGAGAGAGAGAGAGAGAGAGAGAGAGAGCGTCGCTTCTCCGAAACCAATTGTCTCAGATGTGCACGAAAGTAAAAAGGAGACGAGCGAGTTGTTTCTGCCGTCATTATGCGAAGAGTCGATTCTCTTAACAAGGTTAAACTTTGTCACGAGGACACTTTGAAGAATATCTATTCCGATATTCTTTTTACGCGTGAAAAAGTAAACTTTATTTAAGAGAAGAAATGAGGAAGGCAGGATTTTTTTATAAATATAAAATATCTCGACAAATAAGATTAGGATCATTAGTTGGATATAGAAAATTATACAAGTAATTTTTAGTGTGCAAACAAATAAATTGATTAAAATGGAGTTTAAATAATTATACAATGCAGCAAACAATTAGAAAATGCATTAAACTTTTGATAAGCAGTTTCAATCAATATTCGAGCTATATTATTCTTTACAATTTTCTCATGATAATACGATTACACACATGAAATAACAAGAGAACTCTCTGATTAAATTTTTATTACACACACGTCATGTTTTTTTTATCGATTACTTTCCGGAAATTTTATCATCGATTATATCGATAGATTGTACTCGTTCAACGCGATTATAATCTATTACCCTAATTTATTAGGTTAATAGAATAAATAATTTAAATAATTTAAATAACCGGCTGCTCGAGCGCTGTGCAATTTTCCAGCATACAAAATCCCGATCATACCTCGCGGAATCTATTAATCGCAGATGCAAATGTCAGATTAATAAGCATCTTCGCGGTTCTCGAACCAACGATCGGAGTCAATGTCGCAGGTGCTCTCGATCATGATTAACGATCTACGAGTTTAGAGTCCTAAAAAAAATCGCCTCGGCAAGGACAACCATATTCCTCACTCTTTCCTATATCTTCCACAATCCTGCTCGTGTCTTTTTGTTTTTGTTTCTTTTTTCCGACGGAAGAGTACAACGGCGGTTATACAGACGACCGAGATTTAAAACCGGTAGCACCGTAGGGCCGGGTTGTATATTTTTAGAATCAACGCAGGTCGCGTGGGCGATCGCCTGGTCGGACCCCAGGTACTTTGTTTCTCGAGCGTGCATAGTTTGGTCACGACGAACCTGTCTGAACTGATCTTCTATTGAGTACAGTTTGAGAGGGTTAGAAAATATATAGGGTGTCTAAAAGATACGAAACAAAATGTTTCACACAAAAGTTGTAGGATTCGAGAGGGACATCTAATGACGATCTTAAGACTCTCAACTTAATTTTTTTCAATGGAACCTTTATAATTCAAAATCTTTATAATTGAAAAAGTACTTGATGAAAAAATGTTTTATTATAGTTTTCAAAAAGAAAGCTCTTTTAAGGATCATCATCAGATGTCCCCCTCGAAATCCTACAATTTTTTTTGTTTAATACATTTTTTCGTATCTATTAGACTTTACAAAATATTTTGATGCCAAAGTTAAAATGAGATACCCTGTATAATCCGTACTCTATAATTTTTAATAAAAAGTATGCATATTTTTTATTAGTTTTATAATCTTACTAATTTTGATGGTGTTTCGCAAATTTTTCTTATGATCAAATGTATTCCGTAACTTCAAAAAGATTAAGAACCGCCTGGTGCAAGGGTCATCTGCACTGTCTAGAGTCGTAAAAGCCGTAAATTATACGAAATTGACAAACCACAGTCGGTTATTTTAAAAATAACCATTTTCTTACGATTTATGGTTTTACGACTCTCTATGTAGATAATTTTTTTAGAATTTATCCTGAAAAATTAGGGTATCGTAAAACAATATGGTATTGGAAGAATTTGTATGAGTAATTCTGAATAAATACTTAACTCTTAAAATTCTTCCAATACCATATGAATCATCCCACGATTACAATTTTCAGGGCAAATTCTAAGAAAAAATTCTCTTTGTGTATTGCAGATGCCCCTTTATCGCGTCTGTTCGTAACTCTAAACAAGTACACTATATCTTCATTTGCTCGACGGTGGAATCTCAATGCCAACAAGAGGGTTTTCATATCATGTACCGTTAAAGTATAAGCATACACTCATCAACTGCAGATGATG